TTCTGCATAAACATATACTCAGGTTCATTCTTACAAGACTTCCGCTGTCTTACTAGTCTACCATTCCAGTAAAGATCCTGGACCAACACTTGAGGATTTTCCAAGTGTTCGTGTTTGCAGTTTTATACTTTGTCTCCTGCAACACCTGTCAAATTATTACACTAAAGACCACCTCCTTAATGTTCTCCAGCGACTCGGGCCGCACGATGCGGAGAGGGATGTTAGCGAAGTGGACGAGTCGGCCCATAGCGGGGATATGGAGGATATGGGGAGACGATGTATGCGCGGACGATGGTGTGGAGTGATCGGGAATCTCGAGAGCAGGCGTGGAAATGAGCAGACCGAAAACTCGGTTGACGGCACAGCAACGGTGGGTGAGGAGTGATCGGGAGACACGGCTGCAGGCGTTGAAATTAGCGGAATTCGCCCTACGGAACTCTCGGTAAGCGGCGTAGCGAAGGAAAACTCGGTGAAATGGACGGAAAGCGAATTATAGGCGGACGAAGGTCGAGAAACGGAGTAATGATCGCGGCTTAGTAGGAGCGCGGCGGACGGCAGAGGGGCTATGCGGAATAGGCGGAGGTGGGCCTCTGTGCGTCGCCTAAGCAGGCACACGATTGCGATCGCTTAGTCGCGGGGAACAGCTGGTATCAGAGGGATCTGAGACCTACGAAGCTCCTAGAGGCTTAGGAGGATTTGTAAGTCCTCTCGCGTCGTGAATCGTAAAAGAGAAGCAGATGGGAAAGGCAAAAAATCTCGGTAAACGGTTCTTCGTTACAAATCACCTACTAAACTCAGAAACACAGCCGACTATTCTATACAAGTTTCGACCGCCACTTTATTCCCACGCCTAGTGGTGTTAGTACTTCGTACATGGGGTAGTGTTCTACGCATTTTCGCATTTTCGCAAACACTTGAAGCCTTCCTCTTCATAGTCAGCACGCGATATCCAAAAGTCGGGCTTGTCCTGGGAGCAGGCACAGGGCAAATCACAAGTTGAAACAAAATGAAGAGGATGAGGAGGAGCAAACCGAATAATAACTAGCTTATATGTATATAAATATATATCCATAAGGTTGCCACACATACCTTCATGATATCGGCTAGAACAGCACCACCAAGGAAGACAAGGTGCTTGCGATTCGGAGGATCTTCAATCCGTAGTTTGAATTTCTGCTCGAAATATGAAAACGGGGGGTGAGTTCTCGAGGTGCAGGCAAACACATGCAGGCAGATTGGTTATGAAAGAATCCAGGAATATACAAGTGCCTGCACAGTTATGCACAGGAAAAAATTGCATGCACAACCATCCCCACCTTGAGCCCCTCCTTATTGCCCCTTGAGCCCCCTCCTTATTGCCCTTGAGTATGTGCTTTAGGTAGCGATCCCTCACTTCCCTCTCCGACCTCATACCTCACATCCACCGTGTAGCATGCACACACGCACCCAACTTGAACACAAGAATTTCAACCCACCTTGAGCCCCTCTTTCTTGCCCTTCAGCACGTGCTTCAGGCACCGGTCCTTCACTTCCCTCTCTACATGCATCCCCTAATCTCCATCTTCCAAGCATGCCAACCAGCCAACCCCCCACACGCCCACCCACCTTGAGCCCCTCCTTGTTGCCCTTGAGTACGTGCTTCAGGTACCGGTCTCTCACTTCTCTCTCTAACCGCGTGGGCAGCCCGGGGAACATGGTAGAGCCGCCACACAGCATGATGTGCTGGTATAGCTGGTGGCGCAAGGGAGGGGGAAAAAAATGCAAAAAAAAGACATGGTAGAGCCATGAAACAGCACCAGCACAGAAAATACTGGTGATGAGGAAGGGTTGCGTGGCAAGCTCTCTCTGGGTGAGGCTTTCAAGTGAGTCGGCTCAAACAAGTGAGCCCAAACCCAGAGAGAGCTTGCCATCCATGGGTCGGCTCAAACTCAAGCGCTGGCTGGCTAACACTTCAGCGATGGTCAAGAAAAAGGAGTGGAAGGATCTAGGTACGTGCGTGAGTGTAATCAGCCTGCACCCAATTCGTGTAGGAGAGAAGATAACGGAAACACTTACACTCAAGCGGTGGTCGATGTCCATATCTTGGATTGTCCTGAAGATCACGTCGGCCAATCCCAGCCCCTCATTGTCGATCAGCTCCTGTAGCAACCATGCATGCATGCGATCGATGCATTGTACATGCACCAACCATACAAACATACATCGAATCGTAGCATGGCATGCACACACACACGAGCCATACATGCCACGAATCCACCATGTAACCACCATGCATGCATGCATGCGAATGCATCAGACACACACCGCACGGCAGGCATATACTCACCAGCCACACATGCCATGGCACGAGTCCATTATACAGCCACCATACATACACACCATGAGGGCGAGATACACTTGTGGCTTGTTTACATAACACCGAAGAACTGTTTGAGCAGCATTCTAAGATACTCTAACATACTCCTTCGCACATCCCACCTTATGTGCAGAGAGCGCCTAAGGTGAACGGGCAGACAGTGTGATATGATGTGATATGATGTGATATGATGTGATATGATGTGATATGATGTGATATGGTGAGCAATGGTGAAGGCATGGAAAGGGAGGAGATCAGGGCTAGGCTAGGGAAGCATACAGGGGAGAAGAGGGCCTCTGGTGCTTGGAACCGCTCTGCACCAATCCGAATCGTTCTGCCATCAGGTAGCTGATGAGAGGGGGAGGGATTTGGGCAGTGTTGGATGGATGGGAAAGGAATGGCATGTGAGACTGTTGTGTGTGTGTGTTGCGTGCGCGCGGGTGCGCGCACGGTGTGTGTGCGTGTGTGTGTGTGTGTGTGTGTGTGTGTGTGTGTGTGTGTGTGTGTGTGTGTGTGTGTGTGTGTGTGTGTGTGTGTGTGTGTGCACGCGCATGCTCATGTGTGCACACACACACACCGTGAATTATTTCACAAGCACTGTAGTGTCCTGCACTAGCATCTCCCAATCACGATGTCTCAAAACATGAAGCCCCTTCTCCCTCACTCACTGTGAATTGCTTCACCAGCACTGTAGTGTCCTCTGCTAGTTGCATCTCCCGCTTATAATCACAACTGGTACAGGCAACGCCCAAGGCAAAGGAGACCAGCAAGTACCGACCACAGCCGCAGGTGATTTTCCAGTCCACGAAAGTATCGAAAGGTTGACGGAAAGTGATGATCCACAACATGCCTAACATTGTTGACGGAATCTGTTGATCCTAGAAGCAGGAACAGGAGAGCTGTAAGGAGAGAGGGAGGCATGCTGACCTGGCAAACCGTGCTGACCTGGCAAACCATGATGACCTGACAAACCGAGCTGACCTGGCAAACCATGCTGACCTGGTAAACCATGCTGACCTGGCAAACCGTGCTGACCTGACAAAGCAGAGCTGCTCTTTGATGGCTCTAGCCGCTTCGAAATCCGAAACCTTGCTGAACGAGTAGCTGAGCACGGGGGGGCGGGGGGGGGGAGCAGGGTAGGTGTGTTTTTAGAATTCTACAAAAACACCTTGCTGAAAGAATAGCTGAGCCTGATCATGGTGGGAGGAAATCGGGGGAGGGAAGACAGGAGAACAGAGAAGACCATGACAAGGAAAGGGAAGAGCCTTGAAGAGAAAAAGAGGAATTGAGTGGGGAAGGAAGGAAGGGAGATACGACAGAGCAATTTTGAGAAAAAAGGCTACATTTCGCCATTAGAACACTATGCTCATGTTCTATATAGGGCTCATGTATCTATGCTTCAGCTGGTGGGGGATCTGAATTCTTCTGGTCATGGTCTAGGCTGTACCAACCTGGAAAATACTAAAGGTAAACCTACATCTGATTTCGACATAGCAATCATATTTAAACTTACCCCCGTCGCAGCATGAGGTCGATGAGGTGAGATGTGATCTGCCTGCCAGCTATGCTGATGCGCTTGGTGAGGTGCGGATAGGCAAAGCCCTCCACCACAGGCACCTGGAGAGGTGGGGTTTATACAGCAGGGGGAGTTCAAACATGAAGCGGGATGCATGTGTCTAAACCTGCCTGCCGGCTATGCTGATGCGCTTGGTGAGGTGCGGATAGGCAAAGCCCTCCACCACAGGCACCTGGAGAGGTGGGGTTTATACAGCAGGGGGAGCTCAAACATGAAGCGGGATGCATGTGTCTAAACCTGCCTGCCGGCTATGCTGATGCGCTTGGTGAGGTGCGGATAGGCAAAGCCCTCCACCACAGGCACCTGGAGAAACAGCACCGGGTGGGTGTGGGGGGGAGGGGGGTTGGGGGGGGGGAGTAGAAAACTACTGGGTGGGATGTGATCTGCCTGCCAGCTATGCTGATGTGCTTGGTGAGGTGCGGATAGGCAAAGCCTTCCACCACAGGCACGTGGTCAGGGTGCAAAGAAGGGGAGATGAATGAATGTGTTTGCATTCAGCATGAGGCCAATGAATGTGTTTGCATTCAGCATGAGGCCAATGAATGTGCAGCTATGCTGATGCAATAAGTGAGGTGGGGATAGGCAAAGCCCTCTACCACGGGCACAGTAAGGGGTGTGGGTTGAGAAGCAGGGGGCGGATATGCAATGCAACAGGGGTGTGCTCGGCAAATGGAAAAGGGAAAGCAGGGGTAGGAGGAAGGGAGGAAGGGAGGAAGGGAGGGAGAGCAGATAAAACGGTGCTTACTGCATGAGTGGAGCTTCCTCCCGAGTCCACTACGAGTCTGCTTTTGAGTCGACTCAAAACCAGAAAGGAGAAAGCAGGGGAAGGAGGGCGAGAGGGGAGCAGCAGGAGCGAGAAGAGCGGCGCTTACTGCATGAGTAGCGCTTTCTCCTGAGTCCACTACGAGTCCCGTGAGAATGCCTGACATGCGACAGCGCGCAAGAGAGGGAGAGGGGGAGGGGGATGGGAGGGGAGAGAGAAAGGATTCCATTGTTGCATGCCAAGAGCGCAGCGCACGTGAACTCGCACAGATGGAGCTTTCTCCTGCGTCCACTTCGAGGCCGGTCAGAAGCCTGACATGCGATCGGGACAGAGGGGAGGAGAGAGAGGGGAGGGAGAGGGGGAGGGAGAGGGGGAGGGAGAGGGGGGGAGGGAGAGGGGGAGGGAGAGGGGGAGGGAGGGGGGGGGGAAAAGGGGGAGGGAAGGGGGAGGGATAGGGGGAGGGAGAGGGGGAGGGAGAGGGGGAGGGAGAGGGAGTGGGAGAGGGGGAGGAAGAGAGGGAGGGAGAGAGGGAGGGAGAGGGGGAGGGAGAGGGGGAGGGAAGGGGGGGGAGGGGGAGGGAGAGTGGAGGGAAAGGGGGAGGGAGAGGGGGAGGGAGAGGGGGAGGGAGAGGGGGAGGGAGAGGGGGAGGGGGAGGGAGAGGGGGGGAGGGAGAGGGGAGAGGGAGAGGGGGAGGGAAAGGGAGAGGGGGGGAGGGAGAGGGGGGGGGAGAGGGGGGATAGGGGGAGGGAGAGGGGGAGGGAGAGGGGGGGGAGAGGGGGAGGGAGAGGGGAGGGAGAGTGGGAGGGAGAGGGGGAGGGAGAGGGAGAGGGGGAGGGAGAGGGGGAGGGAGAGGGGGAGGGAGAGGGGGAGGGACAGAGAGGTGAGGAGGAAGAAGGGGGGAGGGAGAGGGGGAGGGAGGAGAGGGGGGGCTGCATTGTTGCATGTAAAAGAACACGCTTTAGACTGGCGTTTGGGAACATACAGCATCACAATGTGTTACAAACACAGCTGAAGTGAATTCAATGTGGGGTGTGTGTGTGTGTGTGTGTGTGTGTGTGTGTGTGTGTGTGTGTGTGTGTGTGTGTGTGTGTGTGTGTGGTACGAGGCCAGCGAGAGGAAACAAGCGAAAGCACACGTACTTGAGCATACAGCCGCAGCACTATGGCTTCCAGGCGAGTCATGAGGTTTCGAATGGACCGCATGATGCACGCAGCAGCATGCCTTTAATCTTTCTCGTCGAGGTTTCCAATGGACCCCGGGCTTTGAAATGCGTGTACCTTGCGCGTATAGCGGCCAGCACGGCCTGCAGCTGAATGAAGAGGCTGTCGAAGTTGTACTTCTCAAACATCATCTGCAGCTGCAGGGGTGGGAGTAAGGGGTCGAGAGTAAGGGCCGTATGAAATGTGTTGTCCCACAGGTGCCCCATGCCGTCCTTTGATGGTAAGTACCACCATGCATTGCCAGAGTGAGTAAATCCCATGACGCCATCCCATGCCATGCGCTGTTGTCGGTTCTTGACGTGCTCCATGCCGTCCTTGGCCTTGGACGGCTTGTGCCATGCAAAGCTAGTGCAGGTAAAGCCCACGAAGTCATACCATGCGCTGCCGGTTCTTGGTGGGGTTCAGTGGCGGATCCCTGAGGAGGATCTTGCTCTCCTTGGGGTCGATGCCAAGAGCCATGTTGAACGTGTAGTCCCACACGTGCCCCATCCACATGTCGTCCTTGGACGGCTCGTGCGATGCAAAGCTAATGCAAGTATTTCCCACGAAGCCATCCCATGCGCTGTCGGTTCTTGGTGGGGTTCAGTGGCGGGTCCGTTCCGTGAGCAGAATCTTGCTCTCCTTGGGGTCGATGCCAAGAGCCATGTTGAACGTGTAGTCCCACACGTGCCCCATGTCGTCCCACCGCTGCACCACGCCGCCAATCTAAGGCAACTGGTTCTGATCATTTGGCTGAGAGGCTTACCATGCGCTGCCGGTTCTTGGTGGGGTTCAGTGGAGGGTCGGTGAGCAGAATCTTGCTCACCTTGGGGTCAATAATATTAAGGGCCGTGTTGAACGGTGTAGTCCCACACGTGCCCCATGTCGTCCTTTGAGGCACTGCAGACCAAGGCTTTGATGCCATACCATGCGTTGCCGATTCTTGGTTTGGATTCAGTGGCGGGTCCGTGAGCAGGATCTTGCTCTCCTTGGGGTCGATGCCAAGAGCGGTGTTGACGTGTAGTCCCACACGTGTCCCATGTCGTCCCACCGCTGCACCACGCCGTTGTGAATGGGGTAGCTCAGCTCCACCCTGCGGCCCCCCCTGACCCTGCTGCTCCATGCACTGCGATCCCACCAGGATGCTGCTGCCACATGGAAGTAGGGATGATATTGGGATAAGCCCGGAGTTGAGGTGAGGTAGGTAGGAAGGTGTTGAACGCATAGTCCCGCACCACGCGTGCCCCATGTCGTCCCCACGCGCTGCACCACGCCGTTGTGAATGGGGTAGCTCAGCTCCACCCTGCGACCCCCCTGGCCCTGCTGCTCCATGCACTGCAATCCCACCAGAATGCTCTGCACGGTGCAGTGGGATAAGATGCGGTAGGATGGGAAAAAGGTTGAGAATGGGCCAGCTCACCTCCACCCTGCGGCCCCCCCTGGGCCCTGCTCCGTGCACTGCAATCCCACCAGGAGGCATTGCACATGGGAGTAGGGCTGGGGATTGATCGGGATGGGATAGGACGTCATGAGCCCGACTTGATTTTGCAGGGTGTTTTTGAGAATTCTCAAATACACCCCTGCAAAATTGAGAATTCTCAAATACACCCTGCAAACTCAAAAGCCTAGAGTGAAATTGAAATAGCTCTGCTCCATCTCACGACCCCGACAACGCGCTCAGGTATTCAGGTATGTGATGTGATTGACAGGGTAACCAGGTGAGGAGTTACCCGGTGTCTGAAACGAGGCAAGAAAAATTGGAAGCAGAGATAAGGTGGTTAGACGAGTCTGAGAGGGATTTTAATCGACCACGAATGATAACCACGAATATGAGACATTTGAGACAACGGATATGTGCTGAGTTGACTTTTGAGTCGACTCAAAGTCACCTCGTGACGGTGAGATCTTTGACGCAACGGATATGTGCTTCAGGTGAGTAAGACGGCTCACAGGGGGGTGCTTCGCCTTGGGAGGTTAAGCGGGGCTTACAGGGGGTGCTTCGCCTTGGGAGGTTTCGTCAAGGCGGACGAGGCGTCGCCCGACGACATTGGGAATGACGGCGACGGGGAAAATTGTCGCTGCGAACCCGCACTTGATGGACTGCGACAAAACGGTCGCACGGGAGAGAGAGAGCACGGAGCGTCAAGTTGGTAGCCGAACAGCAAGGCGAACGAGCACTAGATTGATTGTAATATTACGAGTTAATCTACGGCATTCGGACGTATACGGTGCACCCTTACCGCGCTGCCGTTATCACAGACGACTATTTTACGCCGCTCGTCCATGTCAGAAGCACGGGTAGACGAACGAGCTTTTCTCGGAACGCGATGAAGAGTCTGTTTTCCCCTGACGACTACCTCCTGCTTTATGCTCCATACTTTGGTATACGCTTTATTCCCGCTACTGAAGTAATGATCTGGAAAACAAGTAAGGTGTACAACAACAAAAACCTATACCAAAGTATCTGTGGCTCAATACTGGATGATGGATATTGATTATTTGGATGGAATTTTTGTACCATTCACACGAAAACCAAGTATTTGCATCCCTCTTCTTCAGAAAAAAAACGTTGGTGAAAGAAATTAAGACCTTGCCATACGTCAGATCAAATGCAGGAGGGAAGTGCACAGAGCAGTAGCGGCGCAATGCTGAAACGGGGATATCATTGCGAGGGTCTCCTTCACTGGCTGCTTCGTCTCCATTTGCTTATAACGAAGCCTGGCAGGAAAGAATGACAATTTCAAGGTTGGACAAATCCCAACCTTGCGAACTCTGAGCTGTGTTGCATCCGATTGAGCTTCCGTCCCTCGGCTTGCCAGCGCACATAAGACAGATGCCACGGCAGCCATTGCCCCTGTCACCTTGCGTCGGTAGTTTCGAGGGAGCTTTCCAGACGATGCACCACCTTAGCTCCAGCGCGAATGGGCGTGGCAGGCACGGCCCTTATACTACTATCGCTGTACCTGCATCTCGACCTGGCGTTCTTTTCCATCGTTGTTGCGAGAGTCGAGAGTCGAGAGTCTCATTCCCTGCCCCAGTTCTCATTTCGAGAGTATCTACTACTACTAGTAGTAATTCAAGGCGATTTCTTCCGCTGCCCATACAGATCTGTCCTTCGTTACTTCTGAGTCGACGCAAAAGTCTCATTTCCTGCACAGATCTCATTTCGAGGGTTTCTAATTCAAGGCGGATTTTCCGCTGCTCATACAGACCTGTCAGTCGTTGCGGAACCACCACTTTGCCGGACTCTACTGCTTCCTCTTGTGTAGTTCGAAACCATGGCTGCAGAAGCAGCGAACGCCGGCGCTGAAGTCAATGATGCTACGGGTGGCAGTAACGGCGTGGAGCACAAGGAGGAGTGGGTCACCAACTCGCGCGGAATGAAGTTAATGTCCGCGTCGTGGGTGCCGGCCAACCGACCGCTGAAAGCGCTCATCCTCCTCCTCCACGGTAACGCTATTCAAGGCAGCATCCCCCCCGTTTCACAAATTCGCGCCGGCGGCGCGTCCTCACCTCTTGTGCCGGCGATTCCTTCGTTTTCTTGTTTCGTCGGTTTCCGTAGTGGTTAGACTGATTCAACCCTGTCTTTGCTTCGTGCCGTGCTGTTGTTGAGTCGCCTCAACTTGCTTCGTGCCGTGCTGTTGCCGGCAGGATACGGCTTCGACTGCACCACCTACTTCCAAGGTGTATTTTGACTAGACTCAGAATACACCTGATTCCCCCATCTTTGCATTGTGCCGTGCTGTTGCTTGCAGGATATGGCTTCGACTGCACCACCTACTTCCAAGGTGCCTCCCCTCCCACCCTGCCTTTGTCACTCACGCATCCTTTGTCTCTTGCCCTTTCTCCTTCGTTTCACGCGTCATTGACTATGTTTTCCGACCTTCGCGGTGGTTGGTTGCATTCACAAACCCCTTTCCTCTTTCTCTCCACCCTCCCTCACTCACTCCCCTCCCCCTCCTCCCTCCCTCCCTCCCTCCCTCCCCTCCCTCCCCTCCCTCCCTCCCCTCCCTCCCTCCCCTCCCCTCCCTCCCCTCCCTCCCTCCCTCCCATCCCTCCCCTCCCTCCCTATCCTTCACCTGCAGCCACAGCAGAGCGCCTGGCGTCGGAGGGTTATGCGTGTATGGCATCGACTTCGAGGGGCACGGCAGGTAGGAGAGGGCCGTGTGGCTGGGGATCTTTACCCCTGCTCCCTCTTTCACATCAGAGCGCCTGGCGTCGGAGGGTTATGGCGTGTAGGGCATCGACTTCGAGGAGCACGGAAGGTAAGACATGCTTGTCTGGCGTACATTCCAAGGTGCTGTTTCTGCAACACCTTGCAGTTACCAGCCACAGCAGAGCGCCTGGCGTCAGAGGGACAGGCATGGCAGGTACGCCGTACTTTCCAGGTCTATTGCACTTTCCTTTATCTCTTGATCTCCTGACTATCTGCTGATCTCCCCTCTATCGCACTTTCCCTGAATCTCTTGCCTGCTCTCCCTGGCTATCTGCTGATCCCCCCTCTATCTTTGAGTCGACTAAAAAATAGACTCAAAAATCTGGACCTCTTGCTCTCCCGGACTATCTCCTGATCCCCCTCTATCGCAGGTCGAGGGCCTGCGTGCGTGCATCCCTGATTTCACCACTATGGTCAATGGCTGCCTTACTGCCCCTCTTGCTCGCCCCCATTCCCTCTACCCCAGGTCCGAGGACCTGAGTGCGTTCCTCCCTTACTCCACCGCCATAGTGGATGTTAGCCTTCCTTCCATCGCCTGCCTCATTCTGCACCTCTTTTCCCATCTCCTCTACCCCAGGTCCGAGGGCCTGAGCGTGTTCGTTCTTGATTTCAATTCAACCCTCTCGCCTCTTGCTCCCACACGTGATCCCCCTGTACCCTAGGTCCGAGGTCTCAGCGTGTTCATCCTGATTTCAACACACTCGTGGATGACAGCCTGGCGTACCTCGCTGGCCTCATACTTCCCCTCTTCCCCCCCCCCCCCCCACTCTCTTCCCTTCCCTCTCTCGCCCAGGTCCGAGGGTCTCAGCGTGTTCATCCCTGATTTCAACACACTCGTGGATGACAGCCTGGCGTACTTTGCTCCTATCAGGGGTGCGTTGGAGGGGGGGGGGGGGACAGGTAGGGGAGGGCGGATGAGGTTGCTCATTGGGAGGATGGCGTGAGTAGACAGAGATAGGGGGGTGGAGGAGGATGGGTAAAGCTGGTATGTGGAGAAGATGCATTTGGCTCAGTAAGTCCGACGGCTTACCATGCTTGCAACAACAGGAATGACCCCACATTTGCAGGGTGTTTTTGAGAATTCTCAAAAACACCTTACCATGCTTACAACAACAGGAATGACCCCACATTTGCAGGGTGTTTTTGAGAATTCTCAAAAACACCTTACCATGCTTACAATAACAGGAATGACCCCACATTTGTTCTCAATCCTGTTTCGAGGCTTAACCCTTGTGTGCGTTCATGTGTGGGGAATTGGTTTCATGTGTAAGGCAGGGCAGTGTCGCTCTGTGCATTCACTGCAAGCAGCCCTTTCTTTACCTCTCCTCTTCTCCCTTCCCTTACAGAGCACCAGAGCACCAGAGCATACCAAAGTTGATGTGTGGGGAGTCCATGGGCGGCGCAGCGGCACACTGTCAACTCACGAGGCACCCCAGTCCTTCTTTCACTCCCCCCTTCCCCTCCTGCTCGTTTCCTTTTTCCCTGCCCCCTTTTCTTACAGAGCGACCAGAGCACCAGAGCATACCCAAGTTCCTGTGTGGGGAGTCCATGGGTGGCGCAGTGGCTCTGTGCATCCATCGCAAGCAGCCTGACCAATGGGATGGCGCCATTTTCATGGCTCCCATGTGCAAGGTATTGTACTTAACAATCAACAAGTTTAGTTTTCGATCATTTAAAAGACACGTGTTGTACCGATGGTGTGTTTCGTTGTCTGTCTTCCTCCGCCGACTCCCTTTCCCCCTTCCTCTTTGTCTCCTGTGCTCTCACAACTAAATCTTAGTGGACCCATGCACCGATTGGGTGTGTGCTTTTGATTTGACTCAAAAACCTTTCCCCCTTCCTCTTTGCCTCCGGTGTTATCACAACCAAACTTAGTGGACCGAGGTGGCAATGGCACACCAATATGCCTCGTTTCCTTCACAAACAATGCAGCCACGAGCGATTTCCTTAAGGCTGTTTAAGGCCTTGCCGTGTGCTTTAAGCTGCGGAAGCGACGGTGCAGCCACACGCGCACCGCAGGCTGCACACTCGTGCTCCACAGGCTGCGCTGCACACACGCGCACCGCAGGCTGCACGCACGCGCACCGCAGGCTGCACACACGCGCACCACAGGCTGCACACATGCGCACCGCAGGCTGCACACACGCGCACCACAGGCTGCACACAAGCGCACCACAGGCACCTCGGGCTGCACCTTCTCCTTCCTAAGGCTCCCCTTCTCTCCTGTGCCCTCACAACCAGATTTCAGCCAAGGTGCGGCCTCCAGCCATCCTAGTGCAGCTGGTGCAGGGCCTGGCGTATGTGCTGCCCACATGGCAGATAGTTCCGTCTGCTGATATTGTCACCTCCTCCATTCGCGACCCAGAGAAGCTTAAGAAGGTGAGCTGCAGAAGCAGACTGAAATCACAGGGAGACGGCAGGTGGGATTTGGGCTCACAGAGGTCAGCAACCACCTAGATAGTGCTGTGCCCTCCGCTGACATCGTCAACTAATCCATTCGTGACCCAGACAAGCTTAAAATGGTACTTGTTTCTAGGCCTCTAGGGCCCTAGGTCCCTAGGTCCCTAGGTCCCTGTTAACTTGGGTCGATCCTCAACTTACAGGGACCCGTGGACTGACTTCTGCTGACGGCCTCACCTCACCTCCTCCAATTGCTGTTCTGACAAGCTTAAGAAGTATTTGTTTGGTCAGCTTAACAGGGTCCTACGGACTAACCTCTACTGACACTGTCACATCCTCCATCAATTTGCTACCCAGAGAAGCTGAAAACGGCAGATTTGGGCTAAGAAGCTGAAAACGGCGAGATTTGGCCAAAATCTGAAAACAGTATTTGTTTGTCAACCTAGGGACGAGCCTCTGCTGACGTCCTCGCCTCCTCCATTCACTGCCCTGAGAAGCTCAAGAAGTTGAGATGCGGTAACCAACAAAGTTCGCTTTTGAGGCGTCTCGAAAGGAGAAGGTGAGTCGCGGGAACCAACAAAGTTCGAAAAGCGCTGGGAAAGGAAACGCTCGCTTTTCACTCATACGGTTGGCATAGCCATATGAGCGAAAAATGAGCGGAAGCATAGCCCTGGGAAACAGTCGTGGTTGTACCCCTGACGCACAGTGCTGCCAAGGTGCAATTATGATGAGGGGAAGCATCCCCTCTTTCAGGGCTTCTGAGTCGTGAGACGAGTGTCAAGTGTCGAGTGTCAAGTGTCGAGTGTTGAGTGTCGAGTGTCGCGTGTCGAGTGTCGACGTGCCTGCTCTTGCCCTCACCTTTCCCTTTCTCCCACACCTGCCGACTGCCCCATGCTTCCAGATCGCAGCAAGCCCTACACTCTCCTCCCCTTTCCCCCTTCCTTCTTCCCCCTCCCCCAAAACCCCCTCCCAGATAGCAGCAAGCCCTACACCTACCGTGCTCGACCACGCATGCGAACAGCTCTCACCATGCTGCATGCCAGCCAAGACGCAGAGCGCACCCTGGACCAGGTCTCCCTGCCCTTCCTTCTGCTGCATGGGATGCTGACATCGTCACCGAGCTGGAGGGCAGTCAGGCTTTGTATGACAAGGCGAGGAGTGAGGACAAGACATTTAAAGTTTACAAGGACGCGTGGCACTTGCTGACGGAGGAGAGCCGGAGGAGACTGCTGAGGAGGTGCTGAGGGATATGATTGGCTGCTGGACGAGAGGAGTCAACGCAAGTCAACAAGTGAACAAGCCAAAGCGTAGAGGGCAGGTAGGTTCAGTGCATGATGTGTCGCGGACTCCCTCCCTGCCCTTCCTGCTGCTGCATGGGGATGCTGACATCGTCACTGAGGAATTCAAGAGGAGGAGTCAGGCTTTGTACGACAAGGCGAGGAGTGAGGACAAGGCGTTGGTTGTACAAGGATGTGTGGCACTTCCTCACCGAGGAGAGCCGGAGGAGACTGCTGAGGTTGTGTTGAAGGATATGATTCGCTGGCTGGACGAGAGGAGTCAACGCAAGTTAAGTGAGTCAACAAGCCAAGGCGTTGAGGCAGAGGAGGAGCTGTTCAAGTGAAAGAATAACTAGAACAAGGCATACAAGGGAATATAACCTAATGGGTTTTACTCCCTAAGGCACAACCCTATATAATCTAAAAAAACATACAATATATGTTGACGAGCCTGTTAAGGAGGTGCTGAGGAGGGGTATGACTGGCTGGCTGAAAAAAGAAGTCAACGCAAGTCAATGAACAGGGTGTGCCTCTGCCACAAAGGTGCGGATTGATTGTCGGCCACTGTTGTGGAGTTTGTTTGCAAACAAACAAAATTGTGCCTTATTAGTTCCGGAGAAGGTTGCTCAATACACAATTTCCTTGCGTTTCTAAAAGATTCATGGTAGGTACTGTAAGGGAGACCCAAGGTGCAGGGTCTCAGATTTCAGGCGAAATCGGTCTGATGGTCGGAAATCAGACCTGTTTTTTCCATTCATCTGATTTTTGGATGGGCTAAATCAATTCGTCTGATCGTTCAGATAAGCCATAAGATTTCGTCTGAAAGTTCAGACCAGGTGTAGACTTTCGTCTAAAAATTCAGATAGCGCGCATTTTTTCGTCTGAGACATTCCTCGCCGTCCCCCCACCCTCCCACCCCCCACAACCAAGATTCTTTCGGCTAAGGCCCCGACTGCCAGATGCATCCCCCCCACACCCCTAAAAAACATAGTTTTTTCGGCTAAATCTGATAACGTAGAAACGAATGATTACAAGAGGTGGAAACCTAGAACAAATACTAGTTGGTTGTACTCACTAGAAGCATACCTCAGTCTAGCCTATAACTTCTACATAGATAATATGTATAAGTTGACACACCCCTAGGCTAGACAAGGGTGAAACTAAACAAGAAGCAAACAGCTCAGGCGGCACTACTAGTCCAACCACTGAGGCAGGGGTCTGGAGACCAGTCAGCAAGAATACAACCAAAACTGAAGCAAGCCAGGGTGCACTACTAGTCCAGCCACTGGAGGTAAGGCCACAAGCCAGTCTGACAAGCATATATAATAGAGAGTACACAATCAGGATCCTAACAAGGGAGCAGCTATAGGAACAAGACCAAGCTGTACACAGTGCCGCTGATGATCTTAG